CAGCCAGGGCTGCATAGGGAGATTCTGTCAATCAAAATCAAAAACAAACAAACAAAAAACAACTAATCAATTGGATGGCACACCCCAAGAAGAACACCCTCTGGTCTGCCTACACACACACACACACATCCCCACACATGAACATACTCCATACATACATACATACACAGGCACATGGATCCAGACACATGAATATACTCCATACACACACAAAGGCACATGCACCCACACATATAAACATACTCTACACAAACATACACAGGCATGTGAACCCACACACGTACATGTACACAGACATAAAAATAGAAGCATATTTATAATCAAAATACAGGTACTAACAAATGTTAAGAATGTGAAGAAATAGGAAACCTGTATGCTCGTGGTGGAAATGTACAATAGTACAGCCATTTTGAACAACAAAACAGCAGTTCCATGCAACACAAAGCATAGATGAATGATACAGTCCAGCAATACCACTTCTGAGTACCCACCAAGAGGAGTAACATCTGTCCACGCAAAGCATTCCATAGAAATGTTCATGGCAGCTTTGTTCATTCATAATAGTCAAAATAAAAACAACTCAAATGTCTGTCAACTGACCATCAATAAAGAAAATGTGGCCCACCACACAGCAGACTATCATGGATGAATTCTGAACACATTATATAAGTGGAAGAAGTCAGAAATAAAGCAAAACCCACACATAGTATATAACTGTTTATGTCTGCACCAGTCAAACCTATTGAGGCAGAGGACTGGCTGCCTGGTAGCAGGGACTGAATAGTGACAGAAATGTTCTAAAATGGTTCTGCAGCTTTGTACATTTGCTTAAGATTATTGAATTGTTCACTTAAAATAAGCATATTTACTTTTTCATTTATTTATTTATTCATTTGTTTTTGAGACATGTTCTCACTACGTAGACCAGGTTGGCCACCTGTCTCTGGTAGGATTAAAGGCCACACTATCTAGCCTAAAATAGGCTAAGTTTACAGCATACAAATTGTACCTCAGAAAGCTGTTTTTACAAAGTAGATTCTATAAGACTTTCAGAAAAAGCAATCAATTCGCCAGGCAGTGGTGGCCATGAGTTCAAGGCCAGCCTGGTCTACAGAGTGAGATCCAGGACAGGCACCAAAACTACACAGAGAAACCCTGTCTCTGAAAAAAAAAGGGGGGAGCAATCAATTCTTATGTAGCACAAACCCTCAAATGAGACACTCAAACTCTCTCCTTAGCTGTGTGCTGATTTTGCTGCCACTGCTAGGAAAGATTTTATTTCTCATTCTTGATTCTCAGCAGGAACTCAGTAGACTCTGGGAACATCTTTTTAGGACAATGGCTCTGACTCTGTTCAGGTAAAGCTTTGGACCCTTCCCACTTCTAGTTCCTAGTGGAAAAGCAGCTGTGGAGTAGCACAGATAACTGACATGGAAGAGGACGATAAAAAAGAAACTGAACTGCAGTAGCTCACTTGGTAGGTAGTAAGTAAGGAGCTCATAGAAGTCATGGAAAGGACCCACCAAGGTGGGGATGGACAGCCATCAGAAAGACCCTTAGCTTTTCCATGCACCAGAGGACTGACTCTAAGTTCCTTCCGGGTCTGACATGTTATAACTCTGTGTTCTGACTTAAAACCTCAGAAATGTAAGCTGGAAAGATGGCTCAGCAGTTAAGGGTACTTGTTGCTCTTGCAGAAGATCTAGGTTGAATTCCTAGCACCCACACAGCATTTAACAACAGTCTATAACTCTAGTTCCAGGATATTTAATACCCTCTTCTGGTCTCTGAAGTCTCCTGCATATACACAGTGCACATACATACACACATGAGGGCAAACACTCATATACATAAAATAAATAATTTTTTTTTTTAAAGAAAAAGGCAAACGAAAAACATACTTGGTCTCTGAGCATATCACCACTGTTACTACTGAAGCCCAAGTCAGCGCCTCTGCTCAGGCTTAGATCTTTGTGAAGCAACCTAACTGGACGCTGCCGCACTGTTCCCTGCAGACACATTCCTTTGTCTACGCACACCCCTCTGACACTGGGTCATCTCTTCACTCCCCCGTTCCGGCCGCACTCGCCTTTTCACTCTTCCATCAAGCAGGTCACTTCCCTCCCCAGAGCCTTTCCATTTGCTGTGTGGTTAGAGCTCCCCACCCAGCGACTCCCAGCGGTAACAGCCTCTTCTCTCAGCACTTAACAGAGAGGCTCTCCTAACCACCCTACCCAAAGGAGCTCCACTGTTACCTATCTCTTATGTGACTCAGGTAGCTGTTCAATTGCTTATTCCCCGTTTCCCGAGAGCAGGATCCTGGTCAGTCTTCACCTGTGCCATGAGTACCTGGATCAGCACCAGGCACAAAGTATGGACTACATAAATCCCCCAAGTGTATGACTTTGTGTAGGAATTTTGAGTCCTGAAGGATATGTGCTTGTCTGCCTTTTTATCTTCAAAGTTTTTTCACAAAAAGACAAGAGAACCTTTACCCCTTTACCTAATGAGTTATTCCACATAACA